TGCGGAGAGAATATGAACATGAGCAAAGTCAGAAACGGATTGATGATTTGGTGACTAGCTTGGGATCAGCTAGGGAAGAACTAGTTGGGATCAAGACAACCAGAGACCATTTGCAGTCCAGGGTGGATGAGTTGACTGTCGAGCTCCGGAGTGCCGAGGAGCGCCTACAAGTGATGCAATCTCGACCTAGCGTTTCCGCTGCTCCAACTGAGGTGCCCACAACTATGGAAGACGGTGTACAAGAGTCTGGTTTGACACGTGAGCAGGAGTTGGGTATCCAAGTTGCTGAGTTGAAGCGTGATCTTGACTTGGCCAAGGGCGAGCTTGAGCATGCCAAGGAACAGGTGGAAGACTATAGGGCAATCAGTCAAGGGGCTGAGGAACGCTTGGAGTCTGTCACCGAGACACACGAACAGTACCGCGAGGAAACCGAACGCCTTGTCGAAGAGAAGGATAAGAAGATTCAGGATCTTGAAAAACGAATTGAAGAAATCTCGTCCGAGCTTTCTACTACCAATAGTGAGCTATCTAAACTCCGCGATGAGCAAGGGGATGTTGCCCGTCGCCTCGAGGAGCAGAAGTCTCACCTGGAAGCTGAGATCACAAGACTAAAGGACGAGAATGAACGCCAGCTTGCCGCAGCCCAATACCATCAAGCAGATTTGAAGGCTCAGGCAGAAATTTCACAGCATGCCCAGCAAAACTATGAAAGCGAATTGGTCAAGCATGCTGAGGCTGCAAAGAACCTACAGCTAGTTCGCTCAGAAGCTAATCAGTTGAAGCTTGAGCTTGTTGAATCTCGTGCCCAAGCCGACACATACAAGAAAGATCTGACACAAAAGGAGGAAAGTTGGAATGAGCAGAAAGATAGGTATGAAAGTGAACTCTCTGAACTGCAGAAACGCCGCGAGGAAGTCTTGCACCAGAATTCTTTGCTCCACTCACAACTTGAGAATATTACAAACCAAATCTCCGCTTTACAGCGGGATCGTGCCAACATTCCTGAGACCGAGGACGAAGGGGAAAGCTCTGCACCCAATCTAGAAGGCCTTCAAGAGGTCATCAAATTCCTGCGTCGTGAAAAGGAGATTGTTGATGTTCAGTACCATCTATCAACACAAGAGAGTAAACGTTTGCGCCAGCAGCTCGAATATACGCAGTCTCAACTAGACGAGGCGAGGTTGAAGCTTGAACAGCAACGTCGCGCTGCTGCTGACAGCGAGCATACCGCTCTGAGTCACAACAAACTCATGGAGACCTTGAACGAACTCAATCTTTTCCGGGAAAGCAGCGTTACGTTGCGTAATCAGGTCAAGCAAGCGGAAACTGCCCTTGCGGAGAAGTCTGCACGTGTCGACGAGCTCGTGCAACAAATGGAACCTCTGGAAACACGGATAAGAGAACTTGAAAATGTGGTGGAGACGAAAGATGGGGAGATGAAGCTCTTACAGGCAGACCGCGACAGGTGGCAACAGCGAACCCAGAATATTCTCCAGAAATACGATCGTGTTGACCCAGCTGAGATGGAAGGGTTGAAGGAGAAACTGGAGACTCTGCAGAAAGAGCGGGACGAAGCCGTGTCAGCCCGCGACACCTTGCAGGAACAAGCAGCTGCTTTCCCAGAGAAATTGAAGCATACAGAGGAGAGGCTGGTGGAAATGCGTGGAAGGCTTACTGAACAGTTCAAGGCTAGGTCTAAGGAACTTACTGGCCGTATTAATGCTAAGCAGCTGGAGTTGAATACGGTGGTGCAAGAGAAGGAAGTTATTCAAGAGGAATTGAAGGCGACTAAGGAAGAATTGAGTGGGTTGAAAGCCAAGTTGGCGGAGAAGCCAGTTGTACCAGCCGTTGAAGAAAAACCTGCCGGCTCTGGTGTCGACTCGACGCCTGCTTCTCAGTTCCCTGCACCAACCACTCAACTGCCTGTTCCTAGCGACGATGAAAGAGTAAAGGCACTTGAAGAGAAGGTGCAACGCCTGGAAGCTGCTCTTGCCGAGAAGGAGGCTGCTTTGGCGGAGAAGGATGCCACTATAACCGCTAAGGATGCCGAGCACGAGACGAGGGCTAAAGAACGTGTAGAGAAATTGAAGGAGACCTTCAATAACAAGCTAGCTGAAGTTAGGACGGCCCACCGACAAGAGATAGAAAAGTTGAGGACCAATCAACAAGCCGCACCACAGCCGCAAGAACCAGGAACCCCTGTGTCGAAACCAAATCAGGCTCCTACCACACCTGCAGCTCCCACAACTCCTGCAAAGCCAGAAGGAGAACTACCGCAACTTACTGATGAACAAGCTAAAGCACTGGTGGCCAAGAACGAAACCATTCGGACCATCATTCGAAACAATATCCGGACAATGCTTGCTAAGGAGAAAGAGAAACAGGCGGCTCAGCCTTCGGCAGGTGTAAGTCAGGAAACTTTGGCCTCCATGGAGCAAAAGTTCAATGAGGAGAAGGAGGCCCTCAAGAAGGCTCATGAGGAAGGTGTTGAAGAGAAGATCAAATCTGCCGTCGAGCTATCTGATAAGAAAACATTGGTTAAGATCAGTATGCTCGATACACGGTGCAGGAATGCGCAGGCCAAGATCGACGTTGTTCAGAAGGCGGCCACAGAGACTCCTCAGAGACCTGTTGTTGAGGTGTGGGAAATAGCGAAGACAACCAAGGCTCCGCCTCAAACCCAAAAGCTTGCATCGGCTGCATCCCCCGCACAAGTAGCGTCACCGGCGCCCGCGCCAACACCTGCCCCAACACCAGCGGCAGGAGTGGTGGCACCGAGCCCATCACCGGCTCCAGCCCCGACTCCTGCGCCTGCCAACCAGCAGCAAGGCCCAGCAGCAACTGGCTCTGAAACGACAACCGATCAAGCCAAGGGACCTGCCCCAGCCGAAGTCCAGGGCCAAGGTGGTGTGCAGCAACAGCAACAGCAGCAGCAGCCACAACAAAGTACCCAAGGCACAGCGCCGTCGGCGGCGAATGCCCCCGTCAACCCCTTCGGACAAAGTCAGAACAAACAGCCTGCATCGCTACCAAGTAAACCTCCTGCTGGCGCTAACAGTGGAGTTCTTAGAGCTCTCCAGTCTGGGTTGCCGGTTGCACGGGGAGGTCGAACAGGCGGGCGTGGTGGCCATCAACAACAAAATCCATTTGGTGGGCAGACTCAGCAGCAGCAGCAGCAGCAGCAGCAACAACAACAACAACCACCCCAGCAAAACCAGGGTCCGCCTCAACAGCAACAGCAAGGCCAGCCATCCCAACGTGGCACCGGTCTCACTCGAGGCCGCGGAGGTCGTGGGGGTCATGGCCGAGGTGGCAACCAGAATGTCCAGACTGCAAACCTGCCACAGGGGCAAGGGCAGTCTAGTCCACGTGGAAACCTAAATGCTCATGCTCGCCAGTTTGTTCCTCAGGGAAATAAGCGGGCCCGAGACGACGGTGGAGAGGGTGGTAATGAAGGAGCTGGAAAGAGAATTCGCGGTGGTGGTCATGCAAGAGGCTCTTAAGCCATTTGATTTTTGTTTTTGGGTTTCTACTTAAATTTTTCATTTTCTGTACCTTTACGCCTGATTTTGTTTGACTAGGGACTAAAGCGTCTACGAACATTCCAAATCATTTCTATGCCCTCTTTAGGGAGAACGGTCGTCAGAAACAGACTTATTGATTTCCTTTGTTCATTTCATCTGATATTATACTTTGACTGCATGATTCGGCAGTTAGATATAGTGTACAGTCTATGCCTTCTAGCGACTGGATACCTACGCACAGAAGTCCTCTTCTGTAGCCAAGAAAATATGTTTAATTAGAATCTATCAGGGTATAAAGCGCACTTGAGGGGCAAAAATAAAGGTAAAAAAGTAACAGATGATATGCGTGCCTTGAGCCTGCATATCCAAACAAAATAGACGAGCCACGAGATTCACCTTCTCCTTCCACCCCCTCCGGATCCGATAAGCCTAACAAGAGCCTCTCTCTCCTTCTGCAACACCATCAGTCTCGCATCTTCGATGACTCTCCCTTCGAGCGCCTGGATCCCCTGCGTTGCAGCCGTTGCCGAACTCATTTTCTCCGTCGCACGTGTGCGTCTTCTCTGCCCAAAGCCAGCTCCAGACCCCCACACAACAGTCCAGTCTCGTATCTTCACATTGTCTGAAACCTCGCATCCCGAGCAGATCTTCGAATGTGCGCCTATGGATACGCGCCGATTGATGGTCGTGAGTGCTTCAATTGTAACGGCAGAGTGAATATGTGTCCCAGGCAAGATCGTGGCTAGCGGTCCAACGGTAACACAAGAGGATATACGGATGGGTAATCCGTCTGTTGTGTGCGATTCTCTGAGAAGCGAGGGAGACTGGGTGGGCGCGGTGCCGATGGTGCTTTTCTCACTGATAATACAGTTCTCGCCGATGATGATGGGTCCTTCGTATGAGTAGATTTTGGCGCGGGGATGGACTATCGTTCCTGCGCCTATTGAGATCGGATGCTTGCCGTGGAGTATGACTGTGTCTGCGACTGTGGCGGTAGGATGTGCTGTTACGGGGGCGCGGGGAGTCGGGGCTGGTGAGGCCGATGCTGAAGGGCGACCGTGTTGGGGTGGTGGTGGTTTGAGGTGAACTTGGCTTTGACGAGGGTCCATTATGAAGGTTAGTCTCGATTGGTATGTGCTTGTTGTTGTTGTTGTTGTTGTATTTTGTTAAGGTCGATATGCGGGTTGATTGAATGATTTAATTGATTCCATTAAATCGAAACTAAGCTTAATTGGAGTTGCGGAGCTCGGAAATAACCCCGAGAGGCTTTATCTCCGTGAGATTTACAAGAACATGTGACTCTTCTCCAGTTCATTCTTTAGATATTTATATGGACTCATGTCAAGACTTTGAAAAGTCTAGTGTCTATATCTATATACATAGCGATTATCTCATCATCCCATCTGGGTATCTTCATAAAAAGTGTAGTCAAGAAAACCAATGCCAATGCCAACGCTCATTCTCCGAAAGGTCTGTTCAATTCGCCAGCTCGCCATTATCCCCCTTTAGCGCGGTAGGCTTGATTCCATTCCTTTTACGCCATGCCCAGACACCTCTATCAACCTCTTCTTTGGTCATGCCGTCTCGAACGAGACAAAATGTGACCCCAAGCTCTGTCTCAACGTTCCGATTGCGCGCCTCATCATCAAAGAAGAGCATGTCCTCATAGTTGATTCCGCTAGCCTGGTGAATCTTCGAGAAGTGCTGTGTCTTGTTCGCCGGAAAAATCTGAACGTATGTAAAATAATCTAAGGCACGGACTGATTTCGCCTTAGCTGCGGGGTTATCAGAAAATGTTGGAATAATGTGAAGCGCCTTGAGCATGTCCCGCGCAAGGTCGGGAGTATGGGTCCGGGAAGCCAGAGCTAGCGGAATTGAGTGAGTTTTGCATGCATAGATGATTGCTGATACCGCGGGGTAGAAGGCGAACGACTCATTCCACCTGTCGCATGAAGAACAGTGAGTACTTCGAACGTACGGGATTTTTCATTGCGCAAAGGATATACATACCTGTCGGTACACCGGGAATTATTATCCCGTGGCTTAATCGGTGCGCTGACATGTGTATCCACCCAGAATGGCCACAGAGTGTAATCCAGATCAAAGGCGATCAGCTTTGGGAGGGGGAGACCATCGTTGAAGGTTGCGGGAGCAGTAGAGGCATCCTCTAAGGGTTGTGTGTTGGTTCTTTTGGCGCGCATCATGTTCATGATTAATTGGAGCAAGAAAGGGGGCACTCTGTGAGCAGAATCTAGATTTTAGGAGCTTCTAGGGAAGCCAATTCGAATGCAAACCGTGGTTCGACTAGCCATCATACCAAGGGTCACGTGCAAGGGTTGACGGGAATCCTGAGGCATTTGATTTAACTTCAATCCCCTATTGATTCCAATCCCTTCCTAGTTTTGGCTCTGTTTCTTGATTTCTAGGGGCACAAAACCGGTTGTTAGGTGAGCTCATATCCACTCGAAATGTTTTCCCCTTTACTGGACTGCACAAAAGTACGTGTCCTGAGCGATCCCGGGATTAATTGCTCCGGGCGCGATCCCAAGATATACTCACCTGGCTCTGAAATGAAGGTATAAGAATGAATATAATGTTGTACAGCACATAAGCGAATCCAATTTAGCTG